AGGGGCGGCCCGCAGCTGCCAGGAAGCCTGACGAGTTCCGCAGAGACGCTGAGGCCCGCGGGGCAGTGGCCCCGTCGCGGGCCGTCCGCCAGCAGACACGCTCCCGCCTGAGCCCGGCTACCGTGACTCCCAGCGTGCGCCGCGCTGGGCGGCCCCGGCTCCCAGGGTGCCGCGCGCGGGGGGAACCACGACTCCCAGAATACCCCTCGCGCCCGCGGACTACAAACGGGCGCGCGCCGCCGCGGCTGGCCAGTTAGAGGCTCCCGGAGAGACCAGACCGTGGTCCTCGGGCTGCCCGGAGGGCGCGCGCTGATTGGCGGCCCGGGCCTGCGCGCGGGCTACGGCGTCCGGCAGGGGGCGGTGGCGGCCGTTGGCCGAGAGTCCGGAGGCGGGGCCGGGGGCCTTGGGCGCTGCGAGCCCGGCGGGCCACGACTCGGCCGGGACGGGGTGCGGGCTGAGGCAATGGGCGACCGCGGCGGCGCGGGCGGCTCCCGGCGCCGGAGGACGGGTTCACGGCCTTCGAGCCAGGGCGGCGGTGGGCCCACGGTGGCGGAAGAGGAGGTGCGGGACGTGGGCGCCGGGGGAGACGCGCCGGCGCCGACTCCGGCCCCGGACAAGGGCGAGGACGGAGACTCCGACGTGGGCAGCGGCCACTGGGATCTGAGGTAGCGAGGCGTCTCACCCCTAACCCCTGCCCGAGACCCTCCCCACATCCCCGGGCGTGACCGCAGCAGCGCGGGCTCCGAGTCGGAGAGCCTGGCTCCCGGACTTTGGCGTGGACAGGTGTGCCCCCCTTGGGCCCCTGCGGGGGTACTGAGGCATAGGAGTGGAGAGTCACTTGCCAAGGTCACCCACGTGGGGGCCAGAGGGGAGCCGGCGGCAGTCCGGCTTTCAGACCCCCACCCCTCTCTCTACACATCCTCATGTGGGTCCTTAGGCTCTTCCTCAGGGTAACTCAGGACGCTGACCCCCAGGCCGGCTGGCTTCTGCTACGCACAAGTTTTCGGTGTCTGGAACAAGGAGGGATCAGGTCGTTTGTAATTGAGGAGGTCTCTCCTGGGGGTTGTGAGGGGTGCCTTGGTGGTAGGAGGTCTCCCATAGGAGGGTGGACCTGCTGGGGAGGCAGCCGGCAGGAGCCTGGGACTGCCTGAGGGTCGGCACAGGGCAGCGTGAGAGTCTTTCTCTCCCTGCAGACCCTCCCAAGAGTCGTCTTCGCGGGGGTCCCTTCCTCCCTTCCTGACACACTCGTCCCTCCGTCACCCAGTGCCTGGCTGGGCTGGGGCCCTGATTACTTTGTCAGAACAAGTTGGGTCCTATATTGGGACTCTCAACCCCTGGTTGGGGTACAGGAGAGGGGTTCGAAGTGCCCACAGGTGGGCACCCTGTTTATCTGAAGGTCTGGCGGGAAGGCGTTGGGGGAGGAAACCTGACTGACTGGGAGGACTTGGAAGGACAGGGTGTCGGCTGCCTCCAACCTCCTTCTCCCACTTCTGGCCTTCAGTGTGGCCCGGGTATCCTCGGGGGCTCTGGCTTTGGGGGCGCCTTTGGGGCTAGAGGTTATCAAGGAGGAAGTGGGCAACTAGGCAGTCTGTTGGCAAGGATTTGCTCTCTCAGTACCCAAGAACGGAGGCTTTCTTCACTGTGCTGAGAGGGTGGGTGAGGCGGCCAGGGGCCTTGCCCTTGTGGTGCTCCCAGTCCACCTGAGAGATAAGATGATGTCAGTACTGAGCAGTGTGAGCAAAGGTCAGGCCCGGAGTCCCTGAAGGCGCTGTGGCGGAGGAGCAGAAGCGAGGAGGAGCGTGCCTTTCCTGCAGGGTCGGGGGTGGGGGGGGGGCGGGGAAAGGGGCTTGTTTCCTGCGGGCCTGGGAAGGTGCTGAAGGAGGCTGCAAAGGACCGAGGGTCCTGGAGTCCCCTCTGCTAAGTGCCGGTCAGGAGGCAGGGGCGTGGCTAGCATGCTCTCCTCCAGAGGTGGCAGGAGTTGGTGTCCTTTTGTGTAAGATGGGGAGTGCTGACTTTGGGCCAAGTTGCCACTCTGGGATGGGCAGTCACTTCCCTGCTCTGCCAGGGCCAGCTGTCCAGAAGCCTCTCCCATGTCCCTGAGAGCTGGGCTGAGCAAGTGGCAGCCCCGTCTGCCAGGCCTGGAAGTCTGGGCCCCCTGGGAAGAGGAGCAGTAGATGGCAGGGGTGGGCCTGCCCAGGGCTGGGGAGGGAGCTGGCAAGGACGGTCCTCTCCTGGTCTCCAGGTCGTGCAGGCTGTGTGTGCTTGTTTCTCAAAGGCCGGTGACCCAGGGCCCAGAGGGCCGCCAGGGTCAGAGCTGGCTCTGGCTGCCCTCCTGGGATTTGGCTCCTACTCATCTCCTTGTCAGCCTCCTCTTAATTGTCTCCCCTCCTTTCTGCTTATTGCCTTTCCCTCCCTATTCCTCCTTGCTCCCTGGGCTCTAGGCCTCCTCCCCTGCCTGCACTTCCTGCTCACCTTGGCCTGGGCAGGTGGGTCAGGCTCTGGGTGTGAACTCGTTTCTTCCGGGCCATGGCCAGGTGTGGCTCTGGGGCAGGAAGGAGAGGGCACCCCACACACTGCCCGTGCCATCTGGCTCTCTGTTCATGGACACTCCCAGCAGGGCCTTCTAGTCTCAGGGCTCTCCCAGGGTGTTTGTTCCTGGGTTGCCCTCTGTTTCTTCCTTTCCACTGGGGTCTTCCCAGATGCAGAGCCTGCCTCCTTACCTTGGACCCCAGGGCTCAGCCCCGAGGCCCGGTGAAGGAAGTGCTGAGGAAGTGGCGGCTGGGAGGAGAGCTGGCAGCCTGCCCCCTCCTGGCTCCCCTTGGCCCTGGAATTGGACCCCGTGGTCCCCAGTTGTGATCCACACTTGAGGGCTGTGCCCCTGGGGAAGCTTTGAACTTTGGCCAGGCTTAGTTTTCCTTTGCACCTACCTCCCAAAGTTGATGGGAGAGTTGAGTGAGATGATACATGCGATGAGTTACAGTGGCCCTGGGGAGCAGGTGTGGGACCGCTGGAAGGCACAGAGGTGTGGGTGGCCCTGGTAGTAGGGGAGAGGGTGACAGAGATAGCTCTGGAGACCGTGGCCATATCCTGCCTGCCTGCCCTCTGGCCCACTGCTGCTGAGCGCGCCGGCAAGGCTGGGCCTTATGGGTTTTGGTGGGTGGTGGGCTTCCTTCCCTGGGTCTCTGATGTGCGTGGAAATGGGGTTGCCTGGGGCAGGGGGATGGTCGGGAGCCCTGTGGGGGGACCTAGGGAGTGGGTGTGGGCAGGTTGGGAAGGCCTGGAGAGCCTGACACAGGAATCTGAAAAAGCTTTTATAATATCATTTGGTGTCAGACTTGGAAAACAATACCCGTTTCCACCCCTGTTTTCATCTTAGAGATTGCTGAAAATAAAGCCGGCATGGTCTCCTTGGTGGCCCGAAGCGGGCAAGGGGTCACACTGTTGTGAAACGTTGTGCAGATGGGGGTGGCAGGTTGTGGCACCAGGGCCTCTGGGACACTTCCAGTGAAAGTGGACAGATTCAAACTTGGCGGAAGGGCTGGGGAGGCCCCTGTCTAGTGGACAGGCCCAGAGATTGTCCCCTCTGGGGAGTGAGGCCCTGGACCTGTGCTGGCCTCACAGGAAAGCAAGTGCAGAGACTCGGGGAGAAGAGGGCCCCTGTGGCCTCACCGCCAGGCCCAGGACAGACTGGGAAGCTGGATGCAAGGAGGTCAGACATGGGCCAGGTGCGGTACAGACCTTGCCACTGCTCTCGCTAAAGAGTGCTGAGTAGCATCTCAGCCTTTCCAGTCCCTCACTTCCTGTGTGGCGCCGTCTAGGTGTTGACCCCGACCAAAGGAAGGCTTGCCACTGAGGTGGGGTCAGCACTGAGAGGACATCTGTGCTGTCGTGACTCTGGTGTGTACACCTGAGCCCACTTTTCCTACCTGGGTGTCTCAAGAGGTGGAGATGTGTGTCCCTGGCCTCATGTCTTACAAAACCGGAGGCCTTGCTCAATGTCGTGTGGGGCTTCCTGGTGGCATGGCAGCTGGGGTGGGGTGGGGCCGCAAACTGAGAGAGCTGGGAGCTGGGTCTGGGCCTTGCCCCAGCCGTGCTGTGGCCCTTCCTCTACCTCTGTGTCACCCAGAGGATCAGGCAGGGATGTGAGAGTCTGCTTATGTGTCCCCGACCTCAGCAGTAGGTGGGAACTCTCATGGGTGGGCACTGAAGTTGCCTTTTCCTGCTTCTGGGGGAGACCTCTCTGCCCTTAGGCATCTGGCACCTGGGTGGGCTCCTCTCTGGCACCTGGGTGGGGAGCGCTCTGGGCAGGAACACAGCGCTCATCCTGTGGCCGAGCTGGGACAGGTTATGATTTTTTAGAAACAACTGGAGGCTATGTGAATGTATAAGGGTTGGGCCTCTGACCCCGGGAAGGTGCATGTAAGTCCAGGTGCTCAGCTGGCCCTTGGCCTGGATCCCTGTGCACATTCAAAGCTGTGTAGGCCAAATGGAGGAGGAGGTTGTCTGAGGTCGGGTGGGGGGGGGGGGCCCTCAGGGTGCTGGGTGGTAGGATAGGCTGACTCAGTGAGGCCCTCGCTTCTGCACAGCATTACAGGTGGGCCTATAGATCCTGGAATGGACTTCCTGTGGGCCTGTCACCACTCTGTAGCCAGCGTTCATGGTGGCAGCCAGAGGCCTCTGGGGAGTGAGGCCAGGCTCTTGGCCTGGGGTGCTCCAGCTGCACGTAGCCCTGGGCTGGGCAGGGCCAGCTGTGCTGTTCTTGTTTGTGGCATGACCCTGCCCACTGCCTGGGAGGCCAGGCTTCTGGTGGCCCTGAGAGCTCGTCCCTGCCTGGCTCTCCTGTGATTGTAGATGGCGAGTAGGATGTGTGGGCAGAAGAGAGGGCTGGGTGGGGCCCGGACCACCCTGCTGGGCCAGGATGGGTGAGAGCCGCTCAGGGGAAGGGGCTGGGGTCTGCCCTGCCCTGGGCCCTGAGGTTGGCTCCTGAGGGGCTGAACTTGGCTGGGCTCTTGGGCCCTGACCTGCCCTTGGACTTGGAGGAGTGAGCCCGCTTTTGGTCCTGCCCAGGGTTCTCATGGCCCAGGGTGCTCTGCTGGTGCCTACTTATGAGGGTGTGCCTCCTGCCCTACCAGGTGCCACCGCCTGCAAGATTCTTTGTTCAGCTCTGACAGTGGCTTTAGCAACTATCGTGGGATCCTGAACTGGTGTGTGGTGATGCTGGTGAGTAGCATGGTATCGGAGTAGGTGGCCCTGTGGCCAGGGCTCCGTTCGGGGCTGACCTTTGCCTGGGTACCAGCTCTGCCCTCTGGGGGAAAGGGGCCAGCGCTTATGTGGCTGGGTTGTGTGGGGCACTGGGCTGGTGGGGGGAAAGTTATGGTGATGGTCCCTGCATCGGCCACACACGCAACTCTCGTCCCTGTTGAATCCCAGGAATAGCACATGTGAGTGGTCTTGGGGGTCCAAAAAAGAGTTTCTTCTGCTGTTCTGAATGGCCCTTGTGGGCGTGGAACCCCTGGCAGGCCTGGCCTGGCGGGGAGCAGGGTTTAGCGGATGGCTCTTGGGCTTAGTCTGGCAGCCCCAAGCTCCGACTCTGAGGGCACCTGGCCTCTCTCCCTCAGCCTTTGTCCTAGGTGCCCCCATGAAGGGATTAGACAGAGCTCTTGCCTCCACCTCACCGTGTGGCCTGGCTGTGGCCCCTGCCTCTGGGGCCCGGTTCCCGCTGGCACCTTGTGGGGGTGGGGCCAGCAGCCCTGGCCCAGAAACAGCTAGAGCCCAGGGCTCAAAGGGGCAAGCCCACAGGGTGGGGCAGGGGGCAAGCTCCTGTCTGGGTCCAGCCCCCACCGCTCAGACTGAGCCAGAGACCTTTGACCCTTGCCCTGACATGACGGCCTCGGGTACGGCTCCGGTGATTACCCATGTGGAAGGGGCTCCAGGCACACCCACGCCCTCCCTGCCGGTGGCCCCAGGAGTCTCTCCAGGGAGCTGTGGGGGGCAACACAGTCTGGTGGGTGGGAAGCTGGCTAGGCAAGGGGATGGTGGGTCAAACGCCTGCCTGACATCATCTCAGGAGGTGTTGTGTCCTTGGCCTCTGGAGGCCATGCTTGGGCTGGGTTTGTACTGGCAGCCTGAGCAGCAACCTGTGTTCCCTGCAGCCCTTGGGCCTGCCTGGCCCTTTGGCGCAGACCCAAAACCTTTCCCCTGCTTCTGGTGCCTGGCGCAGACCCAAAACCTTTCCCCTGCTTCCGGTGCCTCCACTGCCCCCTCGCTGAAGGAGATTGTGTCCCATGTTTAGGCTGCTTGCTGCGTCCCTCCGTGGCCTGGGCCTTGAGGTGAGCGCTGCCCGTTAGCAGCTCTGGCTCCTGCCTGCTGTGGGCTCTCAGGACAGGCCACCACCAGGTGTGACGGCAGCACATCTGTGCCTGGCAGGAGGTTGGCAGGTCAGGTGGGTGGCTCGGGAGGGCAGGACCCCCGTCCCTGTTTGTCATCTCTGTGCGAAGTCCTTACCTGGCAGTCAGGGGACCCATGAGTGTCCCCTTGCTGGCATCACTTTTCCACAGGACCTACCATGAGCCCTGGTCAGGGCCTGAGCTTGGGGCACTAGGCAGGGTGTGTGTGTTGTGGGTGGAAGAGGAGACCCGGGTGCCTGCAGAGGGAAGCCGCTCCCCAGCCCCAGGCTGGAGCCAGGAGCCCAGCTTGAGGGGGTTTCTGCCCTTGGAAGCTGCTCTGGGGCCACGTGCCCAGGCTTGGATGCTACAGGGATAGCGGGAGAGGGGCAGGGGCCCAAGCACCAGGTGGCACTCCAGGCCTGGCTGCTGAGCCCCTTAGAACTCTGGTCCGCTGCTTCTCCCCACTCCCCAGGATGTGGGCACCCCTGGTGTGGCATCTGCCGCTCACCCAGGCACTGCAAGTTTTGGGTGAGGCACTGCAAGGACATTCTTGGGCAGGCTTGGGCCTTGGGGCCGTCACCAACTCAGTGGGACAGATGAGGGCTGCTAGGCATCAGGTCATTTTGCACCACTGTAGACGCCAGTATCGTGTCTGGGGTGACGCGGGCAATGGCAAGACTTGCTGTCCCTGCACCAGTGTGGGGTGAGGTGGGTGGTAAGTCTTAGCGTTGGCGTGGAGGTCAGACAGGGCTTGCGTCCTGGGTTTGTAGGTGCGGGTTGCCATCCGGACCCAGGGCTCCTGCCGCTATAGGTGCTGGGACGAGCTGGGGTGGGTGCCCTGTGGCCAAGGCTCATGGGGCTGTGCCCTTCCTCTCTCTTGCAGATCTTGAGCAATGCACGGTTATTTTTAGAAAACCTCATCAAGTGAGTGTCTTCCCCAGGGCCCCTACCCTGCCCCTGAGGCCTCTCCCCACCTGCTCAGGCCCTCATCCCCACCCCACCCCCCATCCCCAGGTATGGCATCTTGGTGGACCCCATCCAGGTGGTGTCTCTGTTCCTGAAGGACCCCTACAGCTGGCCCGCCCTGTGCCTAGTTATTGGTGAGCTGGGAGCCAGGGAGGGCTTCGGGTGGGGACAGGCCTTGACCTGGGCCTGAATCGCCCCATGGCACTTCCATCCTCAGTGGCCAATGTCTTTGCTGTGGCTGCATTCCAGGTGGAGAAGCGCCTGGCAGTGGTAAGCAGTGCCTTCGTGTCCCCTGCCCTGCCTAGAGGTCTGCTCTCCTCATTAGGCCTGTGTTTCAGGCTGTGTGTAGCTTCCCTGGGAGGGCCTGTGCCCCAGGCCTGGCAGCCCTTCCCCAGGGAGTGGGGGCTCTGGCTGAGCACGCTGCCCC